GTATTGGGAGTCGTGGATTCGCACTGCTAACGGGTCCCACACCAGGATGGTAAAGCCTTCCAGCTTTTTCAAGTTTTTGTTGGTGGTCTAACATTTTTCGATTCATGGTTTCCAAAAGCATATTTATAATCAAGACTAAAAACCAAAACTTATAGAAAAGAAATTTTCAGAATCTACTCCTACTCAGTAATTCGTAGCTCATTTATTTTATTCTAGAAATTACTGATTCCTGATTTTCACAAGTGAACACTTCATATTAAACATCCCAAAATTAATGATTTAGATGAAAAACTAAACTAAACTTGTTTTAAGTAACTGCCGCTTGAAACATATATTTTTTCAAAAAAAATGGTAATTTCTCAAATCCTAATTTCTACATGTTAAAAAAACACCACAGAAATTCTTCAGAGCAGCACTTTAGAGAACTGCTGAATCGACCAGCTCTACTGAACTCACCCAACATCGAAGCAGTATCCACGGACCTTCCAATCAATGTTGGCCCACCAACAATTGAAGAAATCTTTATGGCCATTAGACAAATCAAGAGCGACATAGCAGCATGACCAGAAAACATTCCAGTTGAGGCCATGAAAGCAGACGCGATAGCAACTTCAAAAATATTTCGCATTCTCGTCAACAAGATTTGGGATGAGGAACATGTAACATCTGCTTGGGAAGAAGGATAACTGATCAAAATACCAAAAAGGCAACCTCAGCAAGTGTAAGAAGTACAGAGGCACCACATTCTCTCGGTAACAGGCGAAGTCTTCAACAGGGTATTGTTAGACAGAATGAAGGAATTTGTAGACGCCCAACTTCGAGATCAACAGGCTGGATGTCGTAAGGATCGATCTTGTACCGACCAAACTGCAGCATTACTGATTATTGTGGAACAGTTAATTGAATGGAACTCACCACTCTACATCAACTTCATCGACTATGAGAAAGCATTCGATAGCTGCTTCTTCGACACTATGGTGTGCCTGAGAAGGAAGTTAACACCACACGGAATTCTTATGATGGATTAAACTGCAAAACAATGCACTGAGAAAAGCTGACAGACTCGTTCAAGGTTAAAACCGGTGTCAAGCAACGTTTCCTATTCTCACGATTCCTCTTTCTTATAGCGGTCAACAGCATTAAAAAGATGTCAACATCTTGGTAGAAGCATGGAATACAGTCTACAGCTGGAATACAGCTGGGCGATTCGAACTTCGCAGATAACCTGTCTATTCTATTCCACACGCAACAAATACAAGAGAAGACGACCAGTGTAGCAGCAACCTCAGCAGCAGTAGGTCTCAACATACAAAGAGGAAAATGCAAGATATTTTGGTACACCACAAATCACTCTTGATGGAGATGACTAGGAGGACGTCAAAACCTTTACATATCTGGACAGCATCATCGACAATCAAGGTGGATCCGATGCAGATGTAATGGCACTGATCGGCAAAGCAAAGGCAGCATTTCTACCATTGAACAACATCTAGAACTCAAAACAACTATCAACCAACTCAAAAGTCAGACTTTTCAAAACAATTGTCAAGACAGTTCTACTGTATGAAGCGGAAACCTGGATAATTACGAAAGCCACCATCCAGAAGTTTCAAGTATTTATGAACAGTTGTCTACGCAAAATACTTGGGATTCGTTGGCCAGACACGATCAGCAACAACATACTGAGGGAGAGGACAAACCAGATTCGAGTGAAGGAAAAAATCGGGAAGAAGCGGCGGACGTGGAAAGAACACACTTTGTAGAAAGCACCGAAATGCCTCACAAGACAAGACATCACTTCGAATCCTCAAATTAAAGGGAAAAAAGGAGGGTCAAAGAACACACTGCATTCAGAATTGGAGACAAACATGAGAAAAAAATGAACAAAAGTTTAATGGAACAGGAAATGGAGGTCTAGGACGGAGTAGGTTGGAGAATACTGGTCGGTGGCCTATGCTCCACTGGCGGTAACAGGCGTATGTATGTATGTACCGTAGGGAGCATGCTCACAGGCTCAATCTGAATCAGTAATAGAGCCAAATCGAACACACCTCCTCCCCTTTTCGAAAGATAACTTAAAGTGATTACCGCAAAACTCTTCCTCACACTTTTTAAAATCTATGCATGACAAGACTTTGAAGTTCACACTGTTTTCGCACTCCATTTCTGTAAAATCAGATAGATGTTTTAGAGTGAGTTAAGAGACTATCAAATCAGTAGGAATAAAATTTTACGAAATCAGACTGCTTCGTCATGTCACCCCAACACATGCATCCCACTACTACATCAACACCACGATCATCTATGTAGCCTACAGAATGTTGTACATCAAGGAGCAAACACCCATGCATGCTTGCTCCCATTTATGGCCTTTGAGAATGTCTCCACTGTCGTAGAGGAAGCGATCACGGCCCTCTTAGTGAGAAACTCGAAGAAAAAACTTGACAAATAAATGAATTAATATCTCATACTGGACCATGTGAGTCGGATGCACTCCTCATAACTTGTCTGATCTTATCAATTTCACTATCCCACAGAACTGGTCAACTCGGTTTGAACAACTTATTTGAAAATCTGTCAACATCTGTTGCTTCAGAGATGCAATAGGTAACGAGACGAACCACCAAGTGCCTCCGTAGCAACGTCAAAGGACTTGGGACTAAGCTGTAAGAAATCAGGAATATGTGCTCTCATATGGATCTGAAGATCATAACCCTAACTGAAACATGACTATCCCTTGACACTGCAGACAACAAAGTGAGCCTACGAGACACTACACTCTTCCGAAGCGATAGAGTACACCAAACAGACTGAACTCATATCCAGAGCAATAAGATGAACTAAAGATGGAAATTCCTTAAACTTGAATCATTCGTTGACAAAAGATCAGCTCGTGGTGGGGGATATTTAAATCCATACATCAATAAAAAGTAGTGACCTTGGCACAGTCTTGTTTAACATGGTCACAAACAAGACACTAAGGCAGGACGAAAACTAACCCCACCTTTGCTACAGTAGGGCGAATTACAAGCGCGCGAGAGAGATCCTCCTACATGCCCCACAGCCACGGGATCGGTAAAGACTGACAGTAGATTATCACTGGCAAAATGTGAGAAACATCATCCACATTGCTTTCCTAAACAACGCACCTCAGTCACACCAAACCCTAGGATATAGAAAGATATAGGTTAGGCATGGCACTGAGCGCCTGCTAGAGGCGAAGAGGATAGCCTGGCACAAGTGGAAGGTCTCCTGGAAGGATTCCGAACGCAGTCCTTACTTAGCATTGAGAAACATATGCAATACCAAAGTTTGAGGTGATATAAATCCCTAACAGATGGAACTAGCTGTCCAAATTCAGGAAAACCCCAAGCATCTGTTTAAGTTCATGACGAAAAGAAAACCTACGAATCACGGTTTGTGTTCTCAAAAAGGTCCGAATGGAGAAGACCTCACCAACCTAAAATGACTGAGAGCTTCAACACAAACTTCCTGAATAGGTTAAACCAGGTATTCACATGTTCATAGTACTACTCAAACCCAGTGCCAGCTGACGCTTAGGGAATATCTGAATTACTCCTGACTTAGTACTAAAGAAACAAAAGTCCTTACGCCCAGGAAAGTCACCAGGTTGTGAAAATATTCGCCCCTTTGTCTTGAAAAAATGCACAGAAGCCCTCAGTTCACAGTTGTGTGACCTATTCCCTGAATTCACGCAAACTCTCAGCTGAATAGAAACAAACTACTGTCTCTTCAATATTCAGAGGAGAAGATAGGAAGGAACCAGCCTGTTACATACCAGTCGCACTACCGACAATACAGCTTAAGGTAATGGAAGGGCTGGTGAACGAACAAATGAAGACAGATTCCATCACTCAGGATTATTACCCCTAGATTACAGGAAAATCAGAGGTGATCAGATTATAGCGCACAACATATTAAAGATGACAAACTATGTCAACGTGGGCACTTTATTGAAGCATTAACACCACTCCTCTCAAGGTTATCCTCGAAAGATGCCGCATCAAAAAGCAAACAATCATGTTCGTTCACACTTTTTCTCACTGAGATTCGTTGCAACTTGGAACGCTCTCCCAGCCGAGGTGATCACAGCCTCCTCAGTGGACTTGATAGACACGTACCCACACTTGGCTTATCATCTCCTTCGTGGACAAGCTGTGCCTGACGCATGCCCTAAGACTTATTAGTCGTTATTACTGCCATCCTCTCAAATCACTCAATTAATCTATCTCGCCTATTGCCTTTGATTCCTACCCCCCCCCTTACACTTTGATCCTCGCGCACAATTTTCACTACCAAATTAATAAACTAAATTATCTGTTTATTTACTTGGTTCATAATTTTCTTCTTATTATCTTTAAACTTTTCGCTGTATTATTCTTCACATTGCAACTAACTGAAAAAATATATTCATTCAAATCACAAACAAACTCACAAACAACTGCCAGCTGACTACAAACGGGCAGTCGACTTGCTAGAACATCATCGATTAGACACTACCAGACAACTGGAACCATCCGAAACAAGGAGAACCTAATGGAAAACAATCAATAGGTTTATACTAGCTTGTTCAAAAGATAGTGGATGTTGGATATATTGGATACGAATTAGGAAGAGCTTGGTGAGCGCAATCCAACATATTGTGTTTGGAATTCTAATCGGGCTCCGGAAAAAAATGCAAAATGAATAATTGCTGCGTACAAGCATCACAGACAAACGCACTAACGAAGAGTAACAGGACATCAAAAATCTCAAAATTACTAACCTAATGACTAGAAATAAAGCAGTCGAGTGACCAGACAACTAGTCATCGGACATTACCGAATACCTTAAATAAGTACATTAAAAACAAAAGTCGGTGTCGAAATTATCTATCATCTTATACTAGCACTTAGAAACGATAGTGGACATTCGAAATCTTTGTGTGTTTTAAATAATCAAATTGACGTTTTGTAGGTAAAGTCTGAGTCCTCCCGCTCATGTCAAAATTCCTCATTTTATATTTAGTATTGTTTGCTTGTGGATCTTCCGCAAGGACATCCTTCAAATTCCCGGTGTATCAATATAAACGCAAAGCTACAAACGAACAGTTGTTTCAGAAAGTTACATCAGACTGTAATGATATCTGCTCACTTCACAACAGTGGTTCACTGGAACATACGAAATGTATTCGACTTTGCATAAGCGAAACTTGCTACAAATCATTGTACGGCTTTGATGAGCTAGAAGAGGGTGAAATCGACGTCAGGTTTTCTTCATTCAAAGGTTGTGTCCTGCAAAAACTGAAAGAGAAAGGTTTCCGTGTAATCTAAGTAAGTCTCGTTGGCCTCTTACTACTTGAAAATCTTATTTGTCACTTTATTTACATTTACATTATATGCTACCTACTAAGTAGATGCTCAGTGTTCCAAGCTGAATAAAAAAGTGATTTTATACTCCCAGGAAAAGTTTGTACGTGTGTAGTAAATATGGAGACTATGCTTTCAAACTGCTTATCATTCATTCATTGAATTAGATGTGTCTTCGAAATTTCTTAATATTACTATTCACTGAAAATGGAAATTTCAAGGGCCATCTCTATTCATTATCTGCAACGTATATGTATTTTACATGTACATCTGTTGTTAGACGGTTAGTTTCGAGGATATTGAATAATGTTATCGAATAAACTACTCAAAATCAGTGAATTTTTCCTAAAATATCAACCAAATTACTCTCCGTTTTTCATTCGTTTCTTATTTCGCCCTTTACAGAAACATGGACAGCAAGCCTGTGTCAATAGTTTCAACTTCACCTACTTCCTCTAATTCCACGGTCAACTCTCAAGATGTATTCACTCAACTGGTCCCAGTGCTCACTCAGTGTTTCGGTGTAATTCTCCTTGGTTACATTGCTGGACGTTTCAAGGTTTTTTCTGAATCACAGGCTAAGGGACTTAACTTCTATGTCACTAGGTTCGCTTTACCCACTGTATTTTTTCGCGTAAGTCTTTTCTTCATGATTTACTAGTTAGTTTTTTGGTGTTTTCAACAGTTTTTACTATTTTTTGTCTCAGTATTAAGTGATTTATATATTCTGTTGTACAGTAAGCCGATTATATCGTAAGCTAGTCAGTCAGTTAGCGTAGAATTTCTTACATACGTACATCATTTCACGTTGCCATACCGCGTTAGCACAGAGAGATCGGATTATCAATCCAAATCGCATAGTAGTATAGGCAGTAAAAGTATTAGAGTTAATGAAGAAGTTTAGTGGTCGAAGGTATGATTCGATAAGTACGATCCCGTGAAATCAATTTGAAAAGCGGAAAAAACGGTCAAGAAGAATTCAAAAGGTGAGGATAAGAGAGAACACAAAGAGTAGATGCATCTGAGCCATTGACAATGATTTTGAACCATGTCATTCTAAGTGTCTAACCATTGGTTAATATAGTCTCGTGAACCCAAACCAGGTAGTCTACACCTACCCGACCGAAGCTGCTACCTTGACGTGGTGGTCGGGCTTGCCTATCGTGATGACCCAACCGAGCTATACTGGCTGGAACATATGTTCCTGCAGGTCCTACCATGCCAGGCTGGTCGATTGGAGAACGATAAGACTAAAAGCAGCTACCCAAGGTCTGAGGGCGAAGTCGTACTGCTGACTGCAGAGGGGTGTGACAGCAGTAAGGTGTCTCCCTCGGACAACCAGCATCTGCAGCGATGCTGCCTTCTCACAAGGAAGGAAGGGTTAGAAAAGGTCGGCCCTAAAAATGTCACACTCCCCCTAACTCACGGATTTCCGTCTCCCTGGGTAAGGGTGCCCACTAAGGGCCTTTAAGAACGGAGCTAATCCTCTAAATACCTTTCATAAAAAGGCCGTGCGTGACCGGCCTCAAGCAGTTGTCCGTTGGGCTCTGCGGTCACGCACCAACACTAATCCATCTTCCTTTTCAGGTCCCGCAAGAAACAACCTTCCACGGTGTGGGCAGCCGGGAAGTGACAACCGCCCTCATACCCGTAACAGCACGCGAGACCAAATTGGTCAAAATCAAATCCTTCCTACACGTT